CACTGAACCTGAAGTGAAAACACAGCGTTACATAAAGTAAAGCGTTTTCATTTTATGGTAGCTTTACTTCAACATAATGCTGCCAATTTAATTACTCACACAAAGCAAAATAACGGTACTAAATGTTATAGTGTTTCATTAACTTTATTACTGATAACAAGAAGTCCATGCGACAACAGCGCAATGATAACAAAACCGCATGAAACCGGCGCACGCGCCGACCGCAGGGGGCCCCGCCTGTTCATAAACACAATGATATTTTATCGTGTAAACGCACACTCACACACACATACGACATCATAACTGATAACACCGTCGTATACTCGATTCTATAAGAATAGAATGACGCAAGTAATATTTGCAGCATAAGGATATATGTATTTGCTATAAACTATAATATATTATTGCATATAGTGATTTGTAATCGACACACGTCACAGCCGCATTAGAGATCATCAGTCTAATTACATATTATAAATTTAGATCATCTAGATACATCTATTTAAACACGGTATATATTCTTAGTACTGCTTTTTGTGATTTATTAAATCTAATTTAAAATGTATTTTTATTAATATTATTTGAATACGTACTCATGGATTTTGCTAAAAATTGCCTCTTATAAAACTTTACAATATATCAGATAGTTTACTGTCTGATCTGAAACAGGATCACATGGCCTTACTCATTTTTATACAAAACTCATTTCTTCATATCAAGCAAACCCTGACATTGCAATATATTCAGAATCCAAAAAGGTTTTGAAAGTAAGCAGACACTAAACAAACATTGTAGTATAAAAACATAATGCGCAGACTATGATTGTAGTAATGTAGTCACTACTTGTAGTAATGTAGCGTATTTATTAATTTCATTTGGTAAGTAGTAATACAAGACAGACAAAGACGAGTACAACTGTTTAACTCGTATAGTTCAACTGCACGGGACAGACTTATAAAACGGCCGACTTTTGTCTGGCGAATACGACTTTCGTCTGAGGACTGTGAATATTACTACTCCACATTTAAACTGTGTTAAAGATAATATTATAATAATCTATAATAATAATCTCAGGACAATTCACACAGAGCCATCTAGACCCAAGTTAAGCTAGCTAGAGCTTATGTTATGGGTACTAGATAACTGATACATATACATAGATATTTTTTTTCTGTAAATACATATATATTATACATAGAAAACACCCAGACCGATACAAACAATCTCATGAATACAAATGTTTGTGCCGTGCGAGGACTCGAACCCGCGACCATCGGTCGTAAAGCGGTGTGCTTGATCGCTAGACACAGGTGTTGTGTTATGTTAACTGTTATCCATGTTTCCATACAACGATTACATTGCAGGATGTTGTATCTACTAGCTAAAAAGATTTAAATCTGTATACATATATGTAATCCTCTATGCTATATATTATTAAAACACTGATAATCAATTTCAGTGCGTAGTATGCTTACTACGTCATGCCTACTTAAGCCAGGGACAGGCCCGTTAGCAACAAAAAAAATGTCATGATATAAACGCTTCTGTCTTTATTTAATATGGACGTCGTGTACCACACGTAGATATAGGTAACCTATGGAACTGATTTACCTTATCATACATAATCGGACTGTATTAATTGTCTTTAATTTTACTTATCTACTTATAAAGTCCGTTAAAAAAGCTACGTCAAATATTTTTAGAGTTCCGCGTGTAAATTCGAACCGCTAGATAAATTGACCATTAATATACTGAATTTTATACAAAAATAAACCTAATATAAGTATAATATTATATTAATGTATAAGTTTTGAATAGTAATATAATATTTTTTGTTACTATCGCTCTTTCGGAAAACAGTTTCATCACAAGAAGAACGAGTAACAAATTAACGTGTTCCTCTTTGAATATATGTATATTGTTCAGCTTTATGATATTTAGAAAAAAGGAAAAGGGATGATAAAAGCAAAAACATAGTTATAAATTCATATAGTACATTAATATAGTGCGAAAGGTGGTAGCAAGAATAACAACACAATTCTTAAATTTTATTTTAAAAAATACCGTTAAATAAGATCGTAGTCTAGTTACCGTCTATCTATAACTACATCACATCTTCATCATCACTATTTTCTTCATCAACTACAAATGCCTTCGACATGGAATTACATACATACGTAGCACATGAAACTAAAGGATAGACATCTTTAGTACTGTTTTGTCTTACCCATCCAGTAATAGTACCTAAATATTTATACTAATAGTATTATATGTGAAATATGTATCCATTTGTTATATTTCATATCTTAAGGCATTGTAATAAAATTTAACAAATGAGTAGTAGCACGTGGATGACCAAAATATTTGTCGCCTCGTTCTTACGAACATACTGACAAAAAAACGAGGAGGATATGTTTATATTTTAGCCACTCAGTTACGGAACCCAAAAATATGTCTTGTATTGGATAATAAGCATTAATCCAGTAGAGAGAAGTTCACAATAATTATTCGTAGCCACGAGTGCATTTCTATTGGATACATTTGTTTAGGCTTAGATACATGGTGTTCTATACTTTAAATATGTAATTGAGATTTATAAATAACATTATCATATTACATAGTAATTTGTATATAAAAGAGCAAACAAGTGAGTAGTGTATAGGTGCAACGTAATTGTTCTTTATATGGTATTACGGTTAATGCGTTTTATGCAATCTAGAACTCTATATATGTATACTGATTTTTTTTACAATAAATTCTATAAATTTGTATATCTACTTGAAATTAGAAACATTTTACGGAGGACAATTTACTTTAATACTTAGATTATATATTGCCTATAGATATATGCCAATTTATTTAATTATATATTGTATTTATATGCCAAGGAAATCTTTGTACAAAGTTCACAGCACATCTGTCACTCTTCATGGCGGTAGGCCATACGTATGGCATATGGTAGTAAAATTACATGATATAGAGACAAATCATTATGTCTCCATTATTAGTTTTCATACATTGCAATGCATGGGAAGTACGTCGGGCGAAATATGAGATCGGTAGCGAACATGCACGAAAAGTCTCTCTCAGGAAACTGTATTATATTCTGTATTCTTAAAAGTAAATAAATAAAATAAAAATAATTACACCTATAAAAACAATTGAGAACGTTCAATTCATCTAGACATTGATTGTGGAATATCAGTCTAAAGTGCTGGTTTACCATTGTTCTCTACCTTTTATTCAATAAACATAATTTGTTTACACTCCGCTCCATTTGAATGAGTTCCGAGAATTGTTTATATAAACATTAGCGCATGATAGGTGGTCGGATTACGTAATGACTAGCATACGTGGGGGATGTCCAGCTGTCACGTCAATCCAATACATTTCACGTTTTATTTCATGAAATTATTGTTTATCGAAGTTCATATTCATCAGGCCGTAATATCGATCCCCGTTTGAATTGAACGGGGGATCGATCTGAGAACGGTCTACGGGGACCGTGACATTGACACTCTAAGTGGCCACTAAAAAAATTCGTACGCAGTCTATACACGGCTTTATGTACAGTGTACTTCGAATTTAATAGTTACCAATCTTGACAATAATAACAGGGGGTAAAGTAGAGCCTGTATTAAGTTACTACATCTAATGTTCATAGAAATTTACCTGAATTCTGCACAAATTTTTGCTTTATCAACGTGTACCAATATTTTTATTATCTAATCAGGTATAGATCCGTGTTGAATGGACATAGAAATGTCCGTGTAGAAATGACGTAGCGTCGCGTCTGTTACGTCACGTGTGTGCGGACCTAAAGTAGGTAACTAATTAGATAAATGTACCTTTAGTCGGAAGTGTTACTACTTATTCGCAAATTTCATTGTACAAAGTATTAGTATCATTAGTTTTTTTCTGATGATACCATACCATACCGGTAATGCGGAGATTGTTAGTAATGGGCATTAATGGCCCCATTGCTAACATGTACTATGTCTGGTCGACGTCCACCCTGACTGGATATCGTTTTGCCTAACCTCGCTAAGGGCCGACCTGACATCATAATTATCCTATCCTCCACTGGTGCCCCGCCAGCATACATCGTTAACGCAGCGCTTGCGCCTGCAACATATTATATCCATTCATACAAAAAGAGGATATGCTAACCCAGTGCGCTGATGATTTATATTGCCATATATACATTAGTAAAGCATGAGCGAATGTGATTTCACCAGGAATTAACTATAATATTTTTTAAGATCACTGTTTTTAAGTCCAACGGACAGGACATTACCTATTAGGTACTAACAATCCTCTTCCTCCGTAAATTTATATAGCAGGCTCCGTGTTTTAAATAATAATCGTATATTTACTATAAAAAATTCTATCAGTTGTTTACTACACATAGTACAAGGTTTATTTTAAAAATATACACAATACCAATCTACTCATACAATGCCATTGAAATTATCACAAGCTGTTTTAGTCAAGTGCTCAAAACAACTGGAATAGTTATTTTATACTTCGTTACCAATATTTACGTACTTTTTAATATATTTTAATTGGTAATATTTTTCTGTCTATTTCCCATACAAAATTTAAATACAATAAAACTACTTTCGCCTATGAATACCAAAATTTCGTGTTAGAATACTAACTTAGGCACATGTTGAAGCTTACATTAATAGAACCAGTAAGGGGTCGCTTTACAACGAGACCGGCATATCAGTCGCCTATTGAACCATGGCCTACTGTACCGGTAATAACTGGACAGCGGCCGCGGCAAGCGGCTCCTGATAACGTTTCTATATTATACCACACAAATCTACTCCCAGTGGCGTAATTCTGCTATTTGCTACACTAATGTGCACCTTATTGCCATTGTTAATTACTTTTGAAAAAAAAATGGGATAAAATTACTTCAAAAAATTGTGGTTAATAAACTCAAATATTTTCAAAGTTGATAAGGGCGTGATGTAAGTATAGACAGCATGTTCGCGGGGGACTGGCAAGCTTATCAGTGCGTTGTCATTCCGAGACATTTTATAAGTAAGCGAAGCGTACGACCGCCATCATTGTCCGTAGCGACCGCGCAGTGACCGGTACTAGTGTTAGCTCGAAGACAGTGAATAAGTGTAGCGATGTTGGCGTTTCCGCAATGGAGATTGGAAATACCCAGCGATGGGTGTAGGATCCAACGGTGGATGCCGGTGGAAAGGTTTGCGCCTTACCTGGCCAGGCCTGTAGCGCTGCCTCCGCTACCCCCTCAGGTGCGAAGAAATACTTTAAAAACCAAATACTATATTTTCTGTGTAATAAAAAATCAGTTTTTTAATAGATCAAACATTTAAAGGACTATAATAATATATTTATTTTCTCCACAAAACACGCATAATATAAAGTGATACAGAGCCTTTGAGGCATGTAAAATTCTATAAATTTATGTGTTTGCTCTTTGCAGGTGGAAGATGAAGATTCATCAGGTGGTTCATCTCCTGAACGGAACACAAATGAGTCGGGTGCGGATGGGGAGACGGTATGCGGATGGCGAGGGTGCGGCGATCGATTCCCGAGCGTGGCCCGTCTTTCTGCACATGTAGCACGCGCTCACGCGCACGCACTACGGGATGGACTTTTCTATTGTGGGTGGAAAGGATGTTTGAGGCCACAGAAAGGATTTAATGCTCGGTGCGTATTTAATTTTAATTCGCTTTCTTATTTTAAATACTTCTACAACCTACTACCATATATTTTTAAGATGTTATACGTTAGATGAGATATTAGGGGTTGTATACATATCTTGTATGTAACTTGTGTCCAATTATTTTTCTTACAATAGATAAAGTTTACTCTGTTAATTGCTAATATATCTTTTAACTATTGATAGTGTGACTGTTTTTTGTGAACAACTATTAAAAAAATTCGTATTTTTAAATTCAATGAACTACTTGCAAAAGATGTTCGTATATCTCATGTGACATTTTGGACCTATAAAAATATTGTTACGATTGATAATCGGTTCTTTTACTTGAACATAATATACCTATTGTTTTTATTTTTAATTATTTCAGGAAAAATTTACAGCATCACTTTACTGATAAGTTTTCTTTTTGATAAACTACCTATTGCTCTCAAAAGTATTTCTGACCACGATTGGTTCCCATTATTAGAATCAATAGCTGTTTATTAAAAATATCGAAGTAAAAAACTAATCATTTTCTTTTATTTGTCCACAGATACAAAATGTTAGTACATGTACGTACACACACGAATGAGCGCCCGCACATTTGTAACCAGTGCAACAAGAGTTTCTCCAGAGCAGAGAATTTGAAGATACATTTAAGATCCCATTCTGGAGAAAAGCCCTACATCTGCCCTTATGACGTAAGTTCTAACAAGTTAAATGAGCATATTCTTAAATTTAAATTAATATACTATATTTCGACTTACTTATTTAAAATATATGAATGACATGATATTATGTTCACTTTAATGGCAACATTCTGTAAATTAATTTACTGTTAGTTGTCATTAAAATTAATGACAATGTTTAACATAATAACTGTAAAAAAATCACTAATTATAATGGCAAAATTAAACTAGTTAAACTCGCTTATAATTCCGCAAATCACCTTATTACTATTAGCAAATCATTCAACCAAAGCAATGTAATATAGTAATTAAACTTACATTAAAATATATTATTTTTTAACAGGGCTGCGGCAAAGCGTATTCTAACTCAAGCGATCGCTTCAAGCACACGCGTACACATACCGTCGACAAGCCCTATTGCTGCAAAGTGCCTGGGTGCAACAAAAGATACACAGACCCATCCAGTTTGAGGAAACATGTGAAAACCAACAAACACTTCACCACCGAGGAGGCTCAACGTCGCGAGTCATCCGACGAAGTGCACAGCTCAGAAACATTTTCGCCCGCAAGGGAAAATAGCTCCACGTATACTCATGCAGAACGTTCATCACCATTACAAAACCACATAGCGTACAGTCCGATAAGAAATACCATATCACCGACGATACCTCCGTACAACCCCATATTGCCAACGATGGGTACTTCAATCTCCCCACCAGTAGGATACTCGCCTCTGTTAACATATATAAGGCCTGTGGAACCTATATATCCAGTAAGGGTTCCCGCACAAGAAATGTCATATTTGGAGTACACGCAAATGTATGACCACGCACATAGAAGTTATTATTCAAATAACGCCACATATCCAGTATTAAGGCAAAGTGAAAAGATATACACTTATGAGGAACGGCCACAATTCGCTGATGAACCCATGGAGGAAGCAGAAGACAGAGAAAGTTACAGTCCTGTAGAAGAGATGCCTTTGAACTTAATATGCACCAAGCGAATTGAATGCAAACCTATTGAGGATCTCGTCAGACGTGATTTACCTTTAGATTTAAGTACTAAGAGTTAATATTATTTATTAAATTATTTATTTACACCCTTACATGCTATTTCAATTATTTCACAATATTTTTAACAGTACAATATGAAATTAAGGAAAGTCATTGAAGAAAGATTACTTCATAATCCAATACATTTATATCGCAAAAATAAACGCATTATACAAGGTTGCAAGTTTATGGCACTTACTACCACTACTACTAATTATAATTGCATTAGAGTAATTATGATTAAAAAGAGCTCGTAAATTATTCGTTAGAAGTGTAGTCAAATAAACCGTTACACCATATTATTATTATTATTTGCCAATTGTGATTAACTATTACTGACAAGTTTTAACCTTATCACCTATAGAAATTTGAGAAATTCAATACATTTTAATAAATCTAGACAATAGTAGTTTAAGTATATGAAACAAAAGGAGTACGACCCTTTTCCCCACTGGGCACACTGGGTATGTGCCCAGGGCCCAGGGATGAATTGGGGCCCCCTAGTTTAGTCCCTACTCCATTACCAAACCATAACAGATAGCTACTCTACTCTCGCCTGATACAATCAGTCCTAACAAATGCTTACCGACTATGGTCAATTTGTTCGTTTTTGTTATTTTTTTATAAATGTCTAGCAAGAACTTAAACACCTCATCACACGACGACTTTTTAAAATTATTTTTGGCTGGTTTGTTTTGAAGGTATGGCATCCCCATATACATCTCTAGTCATGTTCAAAAATGACTGTCTATTCCAAGAAAATAGTGCTTTATTAATATGGTCCCTTTACCTTAATGTGCCCAGGGCCTCTAATAGGTGAAAGACAGCCTTCAAAAAGAGTATTGGTCTTAAGGCACAATGCACTATCTCATACTATCTCTAGGATTATCTATAAAACTGGACACTAAGCATCGTACTAATGAAAGTCCTTTAAATCCCAGTATCAAGTAGATAGGCACTAAGGATAACCAAGTTAAATATGTTCATTAATATTATTTATTTAAAAAAATCTTCAACAATTTACAATGATCCATTCAACGTTGCAAACAATTTTTCACAAACATAAAGTTCTGCCATATGCACCGGCGTAAGATTATTTATAACAATTTGATGTCGACCTTTATTTTCATAGACGGAAACACACTCTCCATATCGAGGTGTCTAACGTCATAATATGAGGTTCAGAAAGAAAGCATGTTCTATATATCCAAATAAGATACAAACATAGTTGTATGGGTCTTAGGCACGCACGAGCCGGGACATGCCATCAGCAATAGTGTTGAGCGCGTCGAGATCTTTCTGAGCTGTATCCAGGAGATGCGCCATACCTCGCTGTTGTAATGTGAGGAATTGCTTCACGTCTTCTTGGGCACCTGTACAAATTACTGTGTTTAACTATCGCAAATCTTATTAATATTATAAATAAGAATATTTGTAAGTATGAATGGACTGTTACTTTTTCATGCAAATGCAAAACTAATGAACGGAATTTGATGAAACTTTATATTAATATAGTTTATGTATAAGCAATAGCAGAATAACACATAGGCTATATATATATATATATAACAAATTTCATGTGTTTCACGGGAAACCGCGGACACAGCTACTACCCTATAATGTATATAAAAAAATATGAAAATCTTATTTACTAACTATTTATATTATATTATTAAATCATCTTTTAATCTTAAATGTATGAGGTTCAATAAAATAGTTTTAGTCTAAGATCCGAAATATAGAAAATAAAAGTAAAACTATTTTTCGTTATTTTTTGTTGCAGTACTATTTATATGGAGATGCGATGTTTTAATTTATCTACAGCAGCTTAATAAGACCGTAGTAAGAAAGTTCCATTTGACATGACCGAGTAAGAATAAAATACATCATCTCTTCTTTTAATCCCCAGGATAATTTAATTACAGAATCAAAACACAAATACGTCGACACAAGGAAAGATCAACTATACCGTATAATAATTATTACAGATTTATGCGAAATTGATATAAATAATATCGATAACAGATGATATGATCACTTACCAGGGTCCAGGGAATAACGTTCGTACGCAGCACCTCCGCTAGCGCTTCGTTGAAGCCGAACAGCGCATAAAAGCTCATTCAAACGACCCTGAAACAAAATATATTTAATACTTATTTATATATAAATTAATTTATAATCTCATCAATATATTGTAAAAAAAATAGAGTACAATATATTTTAAATAACTACGACGTCATGCTTCATTTTTACCAAATTGTTCAATTTAAGGTTTTATCAACTTGACATAACTTACAAAGTTATGTCAAGTGAAAGCAGTGAAATTACAGGATAGGAAGGTATAACATCTTAGTCTTCCGAATTGGAAACACATGAGTGGTAACACGCGCGTCACATGATATCGTGATGTACGTGGCACCGCTCATGTACATATATAGACGACGGTTACCACATATCATCAGGTGGGTCGTCAGCTTGTTTGCCATATAAAAATGATGATTATAAGTTGGTCTCTTGTTCGGTCTTCTTGTGTACAAGCACAACACTTGCAGTGAACTTTGATCTTTTATTATATAACTAACTTATTATGCTATTTATAACGTTTTAATGCACCTGTCATAAAATATTTGGTATACATTGAATACAAAGTACAGAGTACAAAAGATAATCTTATCGCGAACCAATCTTCTACTATAGTACAGATTGTTTATCAACACTCAATGCTATAGACCCCCTTACTGTACGCTAAGCTGAATAAGGAAAAACATATATAAAAACATTATATAGTTTGTGAGGATGGTTGTTTGTTACTCTTTAATAGAAAGATACTTACTTGAGAGATTTTTATATATTTATATAAATATAAATTTGTTAATAGATAAATCATTCTAGACTAGCTTTTAGCCGAAAAAGTAGCGCCGCGATACGTGCAACAACACATTTACATTTCTGTATTAATTAAATATAATAAAGTTTAAAAAAGGCAGTCAACACATTTTAGTTTACTTAAAAAAGTATATTACAAGTTATAAATCTACATACCACTTAACTGTAAAACTCGATACTGATATCAGGGTTTACGTGAAGTTTAATCTTATATCTAAAATTCTCGTATCACAGTTTTCGTTCCCATACTCCTCCGAAACGGCTTGACCGAATCTCATGAAATTTTGTAAGCGTAATGAGAATCGGCCAACATCTATTTTTCATCCCTAAATGTTAGGGGTAGTACCCCTAATTTTTTTTTTGTTTTAAGGCAAAACAACGTTTGCTGGGACAGTTAGTTTTCTATATATTCAATTGTTTGTTTTCTGCATATGGAGCAATACTTGTTTTTCTTGACTCCATATTGTCCAATTATACTTTCAAAACTTTGTATGCAAGAAAATCATACGTGAGATCCGCGCTTGCATTATTTAATATTTTATATTAGTGTAATTATGTGACATACAATATACATGATACATAAGGTATTTTATAGTAAGTTAATGTAAAGTGTGACATTCATGTTCAACAAATTTATTTAGTTTATTACTTATTCAATGTACACTCAAAATAATTATCAAAAGGAATGCTACGAATATTGATTAAGATGACAGAATAGCAAAGGATATAAATTATATAAAAAGATAAACAGATATTTAACATACGCTAACAAGTTCCGTGTAGAAAATTATCAATTTGATAATGATAGCAGACATCTAGATTTTCTAGTTAACGTCACTAAAATACGTCTGAGAATTATTACTATAATGATAGGATCGTTATTATGATTGCATATACTACCAAAATATATGTTAATTAGAAAGTTACGTTTCATATGTAATGTTAACATATTCATGTTAAGAAAATGTATATTGACCAGTGATTTAAAGCGTATAAGTGGTATAGACGCTTTAAACCACAGGTCTGGTAACTCATTAAGCTATTTTAGTTAAGTACTTTATATAACTTTACTTCATCCTGATAGATGATCGCTGCGGCGAATATACTGGGCTCACCCTGTAGAAGATAACCATATATAATGGAAAAAAAAAGTCCCCACCAATATATTACATATGTAAGTGTAAAATGAACTTCAGATTTAATAATAACATAATTAATATAGTGTCTGCTTAGATCACAAGTTAAGGGTAGTTTAAAATATAATAAAAAATATACATTTCATAATTTCAAAGGTATGAAAATCTTATACGAATGATATCTTATCAATTGGTTTTTGAACATTGGCCAGACAATGACAATAGTGTCATGTAGGTAGTAGAATAGCAATAGATAGTTGTTGCACAATTGTAATAATTTATCACATTCAAATATGATTGATTATATCACTACCACGTTTTATAATCATATATTAATAATTATACTGATATCGTTCTTGTCTGGAAGATAGACTGTGGTCGCGGGGTAGACTGGCGATGGCCAGATAGCAAGAAAACTTTGAGACAGTGAAATGAAAATGAGCAAAAATAAAACTAATCTGGTCAGTCTACCAAACGCTGACACCTATCGAGAGTGTTATACTCCAGTCAGCTCAGGAACACGGCTAAATCAACCTAATTGAAACATGAAGAGAGGTAAATATATTTTTAGCACAAAGTATTATATAAAGCATTCCACCTTCCCGTTTCCAAAATTTGTCTTTGGCGAAAACGCTTTGTGTCAAGCCTTAAAAAGTTTGTTTGTTTAGATGAACGTTAGCGTGTGCAACCATGTTAGCGTGTAAAACTGTTCTCTTTGGAACAACTAGTTTTATTTTAAAAAATATTTTAGTGTTGGATAGATTATTTATAGAAGAAGGTTATGTAGACTATATAACATCATGATATGAACAATAATAGCTGAATATCAATAAGAAATGTTGATCATAAAAAAGTAGCGCGGGTCAATTTTAAAATTTTAATTCTTTCATTCCTTCATAATTTAATGGCCACGCTCCTGTCGGTCGAACTCTTGCCACTTACCACGATCATCCATCATTGTCTTTAAAATTATTTGTGTTAAAACTTAATTAACAGTATTAATAAACGCACCATAAATACATATTGTAATTTCAGTATACTTCTGTTTCGATAGTTCAGTTGTACCTGTTGGTCTCTTAAACAAAGCTATAATAAACCGGAATGTCAAACATAGATAATTTACGCTAGATAAGAAATAACGGCAGATCTCGGTAACACTGATTGATTGCCGATTATGAAATACCCCTTAAATTGTTACATAAATAAATACATACAATATACCATATCTTGTTGTATGTTCATACTATAGTTCTATAGTATGAGTATAAAACAGTTTATATTTGTTCATAGACAATAGTTTCCTTAATTCATAATTTGTTTACAATCATAAGTTAATCTACTATTATTCCGATTACTATTACGTATTCGTATATATACATATAGGTACGAAGTAATGGCAACGGCTAGTTTCTAACATTACATTGATGTAAAAGTAACGACCAATGTAGTACCCCTACTACCGTTTAGTTGCTTTGTACAAGGTACGTACCATTTGCAACTTTGGTTGATTGGTACGGTAGAGTAGTCCCGAAAAACATATTGTACGACTTAAACAATTCAATCTGACACCACATGTTTATCGCTCTTTTTATCGGTTTTCATAAAAACACGCACACTAAGTTAATTGCACATATACCTACACCACATAAAGATTTGCGCATTCTAAATGCATAAACAACGACTATCCGACGCAAATGTCACATTGGGTACATATATTTATTTTTGTTCAATTGATTCCGAATACTTTTGAAACTGGACAGATTTATAGATAATTATTTAGATTATTAATGAACATTGAATTATATAAGCCTGTTCGGCTCTGGGAGACAAGCCTTCCACAATCCCTTCCTTATTTATTTATCTTCTTTTGCACACAAAATTGTATACGGACTTAATTCATTAGTTCTAGTCCAGAGCGGCATTGAATCAGATGAGATTCATCAACTACAACTATCAATATTAACTAAGATCTAGAGTACCTATTTTTATTCTTGTTTTGTATATTGTTTTGCATGTTTTATTATGTAGTAACTACTAGCCCCGGCTACGCCCGGATATACATGTAATATATGTATAAACCTTCCTCCAGAATCACTCTATCTATTAAAAAAACCGCTTCAAAATCCATTGCGTAGTTTTAAAGATTTAAGCATACATAGGGACGGACAAACAGGAACAGCGACTTTGTTTTATACTGCTACTGATATATAAAAAAGTAATTCACCGCCATATTGACAACACTCTCTTAACTTTCCTTGCAATTTATTACTTAGATATGAGGACAACGGTCCATTTCATGACTACTTTATCAGTCGTAGTCATTTGTAGTATTTCATATTAAACTGCTATAGATTCAAATAATAAGGATGTAAATATTTTCTGTATTGACAGACTGAAGCATATAGGTATTATTAAATTTAGATTGGGAAAATTTAGTTCAGCACTAGAAGAAAATTAATGTAAATGATTGAATTTAGCAAATACTATATAGGTCAATGCTAATTGTTGTTTAATGCATCGTAATAGTATGGTGGACCCGTCAATTAATAATACGCGCTAATGGTTTACGCTGGCGGGGCATTAGACGACGATGATAGAATAAGAAAGAAGTCAGGTCAGTCAAGTTCGGTCATCTGGAAATGAGCTCGATAGCTCCAGGGGGCACCGCGTAGATGTCAAACTGTCATCGTGTTTTATTAGCTAAGAAGCCACTAGTCCCCATTACTAACAATTCCTTGGCCCCTACTAATTGGTATTCAGCTAGTCTACTCACTGCCACTTCCATCGTACTTACATCATGTCTAGAAAGCGAGTACGAAAGAAGAATGAACTACCTTAAAGCTTTTTATATCTACTTTAGTATATCTATAATATATACGTAGTAATTGTACTGTAGTGTGCTCAATGTAATCTTTGAATTCACTCTTTTCCAACATGATAATATTACAGTATATTTGATCACAGATTTAACCAGTTCTAACCGGTTCCTTAAAATGTTTAGTGATAAGAGTCTTCAAAGGATTATATCTAAAGATAAGATGACAAACCCAAATGCGAAAATATTATGATAGTGTGTAGGTAATACAGTTGCGAAGTTAATATAATAAT